CACGTGACATGATAAACCCTTGATGTCTATGACACAATCTTCCCGCTCTCCTCCCTCTTCCTCACTCGGATCCTCTTCATCTGTCTGTTTCTAAATAAGTGAGTGCTATCTCAGGAGGTTGCTTTTCTTACTCTGCATCTACCCTCACCCTTCCAGCACCATCTATATGTAGCTACGACCTAGACAGAGTACAAGTATAAACTGAAATACAAACTTTTCCTATTGTTCTGTCTCAGACCCTGTTACCAAGATCCATATCCACATAGCTGTTTACTGGCCATCTCTATGCTCTGTGAACACCCCAAGCCCAATATGTCCACGTCTGAATTCATCATGCCCTACTAGAGACTTTACTTCTTCATCAGTGGCTGGAATTTCAGCAAAACCTACAGGCATAGGAAAGGACTTTCTAAATCCGACATCAGCTGCTCAGGCATTAAGGTCAAGATCAACAAGTGTGACCTCATTAAGCTACAAAGTTCTGTACAGCAAAACAAACCACCAAGGAGGTGAAGAGGAAACCCACTTAGTGGGAGAAAAATCTTCACCAGCTACACATCCAACAGAGGATTAATACCCAGAATATACAAAGAACTCAGAAAAACAAAGAAACAAGAAATAAATGACTGAATAAAAAGATGGGTGCTAGACCTAAACAGAGAGTTCTCAAATGAAGAAATAAAAGTGGCTAAGAAGCACCTTCAAAAGTGCTCAACATCCTTAGTAATTAAGAGAAATGCAGATAAAAACCACTTTAAGATTTCATCTTACCCCCGTCATGCTGGCTAAGATCAAGAGAACAAAAGACTCCAAAACCTGGCAAGGACGTGGAGAAAGGGTAACACTCATTCACTGTTGGTGAGATTGCAAACTCCTGAAACCACTATGGAAAGCAGTGTGGAGAACTCTCAGAAAACTAAAAACGAACCTATCATATGATCCAGTGATACCACTCCTTGGCATATACCCCAAGGATTCATCATACTGTGGAGATACCCGTACATCCATGTTTGTTACTGAGCTCTTCACAATAGCTAAGAAATGGAAACAACCTAGAAATACCTCAACTGACAAATGGATAATGAAAATCTGGTACATGTACACAATGGAGTTCCACTCAGCAGTAAGAAAAGATGAAATTATGAAATTTGCAGGTAAATGGATGGAGCTAGAGAGTGTTATACTAAGTGAAGTAACACAAACACAGAAAAGCAACCGAGGCGCGTTCCTCATTTGCAGATCTAGCACCAACACTTTATATGTGAGTAACACCAGGAGCCGGGTAAAGGGAAAGGACACATGGAGGTAAAGGAAAAGAAAGAACCTGAAAGGGAGATAGTAGGGAGCAGATGTCATGGAGGGAGAAGGAAATGAGGGGCAACGGTTGGGGAGGAGGGTACACAGGAGGGGGGAATGGTGGGAGGCAGGTGTTATTTGGTGGAGGGAAGGAACAATGGAGAACTTGGACTGGGGAGGGAGAACAGAGGTAGGATGTGGGGGAGAGTAGAGATGAATGGATCTTGGGGAGCTAGGGAAGCCAGAGGGAAATGTGTTGTCTCTGAAGTCCCCTGAGAAATGCACATATGGTGCCTGAACATTAATGCACATGTACGGCCTGGGGGGCTGTATGCCAAGGAACACAGTGCCAGCAGGAGAGACCTCCCTTTAGTGGTTGGTCAGAGTAGTCCAAGAGACTGAAAATAACAGGCTATCTTGGTTATCTCTCAGAACTGGAAGATGAGATCCTACTGCTGAAGACAAGACATACTTCAGACACAGGACTTGGAGCAATGGAGCAGGAACTTCCTTGGAGACCTTCTAAACCGAAGTTAAGCTCTCATAGTTCCGGAGGGTGCTATATAAGCTGGTAAGGGAGATTAATCAATCAATGGTCCAACCCGACCCTAAACTGAGTGCTTCTGCAGTTAGAAGTGGAACTGGTTTTTCAATATAGACTAGAGGAACTACACAACCATACACTTGCAAATGATAACGCTTCAGGTAGGCATTTGCAAGTTAAAGCAGGTAGATACCATCACTAGGACAGATTGCACACTGTATAGACTTCCTGTTGTTCAAACTGTTGCACAGACCCACACTGTGCATGTGCTCCTACAGAGATTTGTTCACATATTAATAGTTTTTCTAACCTGAATTAAATCAAAAGAAAACACCCCCTTTTGAGTAAGTGGTATGCAATAGGCAAATATTCTTTAATCTAGAGCCATCAAGATAATTTCTATATTTTATTTCCTAAGGCTATAAAGTAAAACAAATGCCTTTATAATTGCTAAGTCTGTTTTATCTGAAATTTATGAACAAAAACAAAGTTTTACTTGCTCTCAACACAAATTCCGTTTTGTACTTTTTGCATCAGATATACCTTTTTAAAAATAATGATAAAGTTGTGACGATAACCTAGCTATACCAACATGTATTAAAAAAGGCTATCAACGTGGTACCTAAATGCTTCTTCAGTTATTTTATGCTCTGTGACTGGAATCACGGAGAAAGACAAGACTCAAATGTATTATCTATTAATAATGTATATGAACAATGACTACAAGAATGAGTATAAATTTTTGTTTGTTCTTCATGTAAGAATTGTATCTATTTGCTAATGACTATAACTAAGTTATAACTTTTAAGCAATGAAGCTATGATTTATATTACTCAGTGGGAGTATGTCATCCTATATACGAAACTAAACTCTTTATATAAAAGAGTAGCAATGCTCAAGAGGAAAAATAATATTGGGATGCTTCAGGAAGCATCTAACTTGGATTCCTGTCTTCTGAAACAACTGTGATTGGGGGTAGCTAAGGAGGGGCTGGGGAGATGGTTCGGTTGGCAAAGTGTTTGCCTCACAAACAAAAAGGCCTGAGTTCAATACTAAGCACCTACATACAAGCTGGGCATGGGACAATGACCTATACATCCAGCACTGGGGTGCCAGCTACAGGAGGGTTTCCTAGGCTTTGCTCGCCAGCCATTCTAGAAGAATTCATCAGCTCTAGGTTCAGAGATGCTGTTTCAAATAATATGATGGAGAGCTATTAAGGAAAATATACCATATCAACTCTGGCCTACGCACGCACGCACGCACGCACACATCCAAATCAAGCCTTAACGAACAGAATAGCTAATGAGAAAATTGTAGGGCCTTAATATTTCTGTATACAAGCTGCCTTTGCAGTACTTGACCCTGGTACCTGGCAGTGAATAACCCTCAGTGGGCTGACTTTGAGCAGCACAAATTTGTTTGACCATAATAACGGATATTGTTTTCAGAGAAGTAGTAGACTAACATCTTTAATATTAGAGTCTATCCCCTTTCAAATGATCATTCTTCCAACCATTGTAGAGAATTCTATAGTGTGGAAAGTCCAGGATCTCAAGTTTATATGCAGGTCAATTAGCTGAAGAAAAATTAAAGCTAATTGGCTGAATGCTGGCACACCCATTCCCTTAGGCACAGTCATTTCTAATGACTAATGTCCTCAGAGACCTGCGTCTATGATAAGTGCACCTACTCTGTAGGGTTGCTGGGATAAAATGAGCAAATATATACAACAGTCTGGCACCTGGAGCCAAACATATCTTTTATAAATATTTTTTATAAGTGTTATGTGTTATTCACACAAGGTACATGAGTTTATAAACAATGTGTGTGTATCTGTGTGTCTCTGTGTCTGTGTGTGTGGCAAAATTCTATTCATTTTCACATTATTGAAAAATTCACTTTGTGGGGCTGGAGAGATGGCTTAGTGGTTAAGAACATTGGTTGTTCTTGCAGAAGACCAGGGTTCGAATCCCAGCATCCACATGACAGTTAACAACTGTAACTCCAGTCCCAGGGATCCGACAGCCTCTTCTGACCTCCATGGGCATTGCATTGGATGTACATAAACATACAATAAAAATAATAAATAAAATTTTAAAAAGGAAAAAAAGAGAAAAATTCACTTTGTTTACCTGTTAATAATTGAGTCCAAAATGTCATATATTGCTAGGAATATTTAATGACAGTGCCAAAGTTCCAAAGATAATATTGTGTATTTATTTTCTCCAAGTACTTAGTTACTATGATTTCTGTAGCTTTCATATTTAAATTTTTTTAAATTTTATGTGTACGTGTGTATTGCCTGCATGTAGGTAAGTGCACCCATGTCGTGCAATGCCCGTGGAGGACAGAACAGGCTGTTGGATCCCCTGGAACTGGAGTTACCGACAGTTGTTAGCTGCCATGTGGATGCTGGGATTCGAACCTGGGTCTTCTGCAAGAACAACCAGAAGCCATCGTAACCGCTGAGCCATCGCTCGAGCCCGCTTTCATATTTAAATGAAGAAAAATAGAATTAAATCTAAGAATAAACAGATCTTCCTTATTTTGTTTCAGTGCACACGCTATACTTGTCCAGAAGCAGCTGCTATCAGTGACAATGTGTCTGAGCTTTAGTATACATACATTCACATATGTGAGAGAAAACCACCCTGCAGAAAGAATGACCCGCAGCCAAAACAAAGTCGTTTCAGACATGACTTGCTCTTTAATTTCTTTGATAGTGCTGAAGCAAGAAAGGAAATCATGTAAAGAAGAAATGCCAATGAGCCAGACAGTTTGTAAAGAGGTTCCTTCTGGGTATCAAATATCCTCAGAGTAAAATCATATCCTGTGAAATGGACTAGGCAATTTCATGTATGCAGGAGGTAGGTTTATATATCACATTTCACTGAAGAAAATTATAGCTTGTTTTTGCTGAGTCAAAAACCTGTCTACTTGAGGTCAAATAGTATATCACTGTATTAGAAAATTTTCTTTCTTATAAGTCAGTACATGAGCTATATGTAAGCAATAAACCCATAAGATATTGGTCTAATGACCTTAGTGGGGCACCGTGACCTTCCTAGAAAGAATTCTACACTCCTAAGGAAAATTACACCCAACTCATTTAGTGAATGAGGCAAGATGGAAATAAACAAATAAAATGACTTCCTACCAGAATAAAATGATCCTAATATTTCCTTTCTTCCAGAAAGCTCTTGCTGATTTTCCCCAGTCTGGGTAGGGTTTGTCCTGAAGCATCATGTCAGTGACCTGGGTGAGGAAAGGAACTGATTTAGCACTTTCAGAAATCTCATTTTCTGGTGGAAATATAAGAATATAATTTACATGTATTGAGAATACAATATGCACATATTTTACATTAGAATACATGAAGAGACAAATTGGAAACATACTGCATTCATTTGAAAACTATCAGCATGCATTTGACCTTACATACTGCAGGAGCACATTTAAAGTTATTCAGCATGTGAATACTAGACTGCTTTCGAAATGTCAATCAAGATTGTGTGTGGCTTTTTTCATTTAAAAAACTACTAATGTATTGGGGCTGGAGAGCTGGCTCAGTGGTTAAGAGCACTGGCTGCTCTTGCAGAGGGCCACAGTTCGGTTTCCAGTAGCCACACGGCAGCCAACAACCGTTCATAATTCCATTTCCAGGAAATCCGACACCCTCTTCTGACCTCCGTGGGCATGGCACTTACATACATACAGGCAAATTGCTCATACACATAAAATAAGATAATATTTTTAAAACAATGTATAATATTTGTGGATGAAAATTACATGTACATTGTGCTTCAATCATATTCAAACTTGCACTCTCGCCTGAATATAATTTTTAAAGGCATTTGGTGATTGGTAATGACTTCTTGCAAAACAATGCATAACACATAAAATGTACTTTTAAGTTTTTCTAAATCAGAAACTCCAAAATATATACTCTGAAAACTCAAATCCAATGACTTCAGCTGAATCATTAACCCAAAGATTAGTTTTTCTTCCCTTCCCGCTTCCTCTTGTCATTGCATTCTCGGTGGCTTTTGCTAAGTCACAAACTTACCTCTGCCAAGGTTGTGGATAAATATACATCAGTCAAACTTCTCAGCTATCCATCTGTACTCTGGTATAGCACTTACACTCAATTTACAGTGTGTTTATTCTAATTAGCAAGTACTCTCCTATCTACAATTCTGCATCCTCCAAAACTGTCCTTCCTCATTTCCCCAAATGCACAGTGCCTGCTCATCTTCTGCCGCCGCTGAGGGACCACCCTGCTGTCTTCGTTCTTCTTCGCAATGATGCTCTTGGCTGGCCCTCCTCAAGCCACATGACTTTCCATTTTCCATTTTATTTACTTCCCTAAACATCCTTTTCTTTCTATCAGATTTTATTATAGTCCCTAAAGGTAAAGACTTGTTTCTGCATCCTTTCTAATATCTATGGATGTTTCATATAACAGAATACTTAAATGAAAAAATGAATTAACAAATATTGCTTATTTTTTTTAAAAAATCGACAAGGTAAGTTGCTCATTATCAATGCTTTCTGTAAAATGTCTAGCATATCATAAATAGATAATTATTATAAAAGCATTTTAGAAGTCTATGGGAATGGAAAATTAATTTCTTTTTCTAAAAAAGGAAAATGTTTGTATATGTACACACATATGAATACATAACTTCTTCTTTTTCCAGAAAATCCACACTTTTTCAAAAGAGCATTATTTCCTTAGCTGTGATTTTAATTAATGCTAAAATTCAAATAGTGCAGATTTAAAATGAAAAAATGGACATAAATAAAGTGTAACATACTGGGTAGAGAAGGATTTTGATTACCAATTAGGACATACTTTTGTACGGCTGTCAATTTGGGACAGAGAAACTTCGTTTGCAGTGATCAGCGGTAACTTCAGAGACTCATAACTAATCAAAGTGATGCTAATAAGTGACCATTGGCTGTGCAGTCATAAATGGAACATTGTTATCACCCTTTCCAAGCCTCAGGGAGCATTGTAAAGAGGGAATAGAAAGAATGTAAGAGCTAGAAGATGGGGTAGAGGGTGTGGGAACGCTGTGTTCTGGGCACTGTTAACTTCATAGAAGCTGAGATTACTTGTACAAGATTGGGCCTGCTGACATACTATCAAGGAGAGGGGAGGGGCTGACAAACTCTCAACCCTCCTTGAAAATTTATAGACAGTTAATGGTTGTTGGGGGAAGAAAAAGCATATTCTTCATTAATTTAGCTGTTGGTTAAGATCTAAGTGATTTTAATATAAAGTATGATCAAAGAATTCCTTAAAATGTCAATCATGTTGATAAATGTAAATGTAACTAATAGGAAAAATTCAAAAAGGAAATATAGGTGTTTTACTTATTTGTGTGTGTGTGTGTGTGTGTGTGTGTGTGTGTGTGTGTACAAGTGTGTGGCCATGGAGGCCAGAAGAGAGTATCAGATACCCTGGAGCTGGAGTTACATGCAGTTTTATGTTGCCCTACATGAGTGTTGTAGAACTAACTCTGGTCCTCAGCAAGAGTAGGAAGTGCTCTTAACTGCTGAGCCATCTCTCTAGCTCCTTACTTTTAAAAGGGATACAGTAAAATGATTATTTTCATATCTGTTTATTTTCTTTGAAATCCTTTCAAATTATGGGATTTTTATTTTTTCATTAACACTGATGACCATAGATTATATTTTTCCTCTAAAAAGATTCATGATCTTTATGGCATGATCAAAGAAAAAAGATATAGAATAAAAATTAACCACAAATCAGGTGAAGTATATCATAACTAAAAAAATTAAATAAAAACAGAAAGGAAAAATAGAGAAATTAAATCCACTATATAACTATATACTTAGGCACAAAAAAGTCTTAGGTTAGAACTTCCCTTATGGAAGAATTATTAGTTTTCTAAATATAATTTCAGCTACTGCCATCACAAACATTTTAGATAACAATTCTTGTGTCAAATACTTAACAAAACCCAAAGTTTAAGCAACACTATACCATGTTTGACCAGATTTTTTTTCATTACTCCTTTTTTAAAATTTTATTTATTATTTTTATTTTATGTGTCTGAGTATATTGCCTGCATGTATGTGAGTGCACCCGAGTCGTGCAATAATGCCACAGAGGTCAGAAGAGGACTTCGGATTCCCCTGGAACTGGAGTTAAGGATGGTTCGTAGCTGCCATGTGGGTGCTGGGAATTGAACCTGGGTCCTCTGCAAGAGCAGTCAGTGTGCTTAACCCCTGAGCCATCTCTCCAACTCCTTTTCATTACCTTCTTTACAGCAGTCTTTATCCTGTTCCTCAGCAGGTCTGTATGATATTATTTTCAAGTAAAAGAATGATTACTGGGTGTTTTATTCAATTTTGAATGCTTCTCCAGGGCAATTTCTGGGAAATACTTATCATATTCTAGAAGGCAGCAATCTGCAGCTATATGACCAATTATTGAGGCAGCATGTTTTGAAAAAACTGACATTCAAGTATAAAGCACTTTCTCAGGGAAAATGGTAAGATGGGGTTAAGAAATATTCTTTCTGATGACAGGCAACTGATCTTTTTCACCCCAGTCCCAACTCTTTATTTTAAGACATAGCGTCTGATCAATGTCAGGTCACTCGCAGCTAAATTGGCAGTTGCACAGACAATCATTAAAGGGATGTATTCAATAAAGAAAAATCCAATTACTTTTTGCATTAGAGAAATCAAATTCATTTCTGGTGGTGGTCAAGGACAATCTTTGTGGGAACTGATGTGGGAAACCAGAGAGTAAAGAGATGCGAAAGGGTTCTCTGTGGCATAAATACAATAGTGAGCTGCTGATGCTTCCCTCACAGAAGGCAGAATTTGAAACGCAGGCTTTCTAAACTGGGAGAAAATAATTTAATTCTTTGGGTCTCACAGCTTTTCTTTTCCACTTTCTTGTCAACAAGGTCTGTGCACAGAACGCAGAACCTCAGGACATGGCAGGCACAGCATGCTTTACCAGGTAGCCTTTCTTGGGAAAACATGAGCTATTTTAAGGGTAGGTATTGCATGGTCTAGGCAAGAAAATATATTCTGCGGCGTAAACTCAGTAAATGATTGTAAAAACAATCTATTCCTATAGCGACCAAGGTGAAACCTTTAATGTGGTACTGTAGCAACCACTGCGCAGCAACAACAGAGATAACACTCATTCTTTAGGCTTGGTCCTGAGCTCCATGGTCTAAACCTGCTCCTGAGCTCCATGGTCTAAACCTGCTCCTGAGCTCCATGGTCTAAACCTGCCCCTGAGCTCCGTGGTCTCTACCCTTGCTCCTGAGCTCTGTGGGTCATAAATTCTCAAATGAACTCCCCTCACTAATTGTCATGACGACCTTATACTTTGCACCTTTCACCGACTGAGAGAGAGCAGTCAGTGAGACTGAATCGCAGAGCTGGGTCACACCTGCGTTGTCCATTTCCCAGGTCTCAGCCTTGGCTCTACTCCAAACGTCTCACTATCATACTAGCTTGTGATTTGAGGCAAAGCAATTTCTCCCTCTGCGTCTCGATCTTTCATTCGTCATCTACTAGGAAGCGATGCAGGTGTTACAGTCTGCTTTTCTTCCTCTTCCTCCCCCACCATTCCCGCTTACCATGTTATGTTTATTACTTTCTCACTTTTTGAATACTTTGGCATCTCTATTTTATTTATCATTACTAAATTATATCATCTTCATATAGATATATATAAAAGATGAAAAATAAATATTTTACTTTCTTATGCATCATTTCTCTATTATTTTTAAGGGATATTTCTGTATTCTGTATTTTTTAACATTTTATTTATAATTTTTATTTTACATGTATAAGTTTGTTGCCTGCAAATGTGTAAGTGCATCTCTGTCATGTAATGTCTGCAGAGGTCAGAAAAGAGTCTTGGATTCCCCTGTAACTGGAGTTACAGATGACTGATAGCTGCCATGTGAGTGCTGGGAATCGAACCTCTACAAGAGCAGCCAGTGTCCTCAACCACTGGGCCATCTCTCCAGGCCCTAGGCATCTTTTAAACACGGGCCCTACGATTAAATTGACATAATGAGCTTTCCCAGCACTTGAGTTTGTCTACTTGTACCTGAGCTACTTTGTTTCATAATAATTTTTCCAAGAAAATTCAAATGAAAAACTTTGCCCACAACCAAACCATTTATTTTCTTTCTCTTCATTTTTTTTTTTTTTTTTTTACTGTTTTTACTTGTTTTGGTTTGTTTTGCGAT